TGGGTATATACTGTGTTTGATTTATACACTAACTGTGGGCTTATCTACATGGTGCACACACTAAACACTTCCTAGAGCACCCAATATAGTACTGAGGCTATATTAACATACTCTAGGAAACTTTCACTGTATGCCAGCAGGGTCCACAGAAGCCAGTTAGTGGACAATATGCTGGTGCACATTAGAATTTATATTCCAGGTAGTGCAAATTAAGGCACTGTGTAGACAAGCCTTGTGTCTGTTTATAGCTTTTACTACAGATTAGCACCCAGCTGTTGGACCTGAACTGTGGACCTCAGATGTTCAGGACAAGCATTATCTTACAGGGAGGTGTTTATAGAGTAACTTACTGACTTGGGGTCAAAAACAACAAACTCACATAACCCAACTATTCTCACAATGACCTTTGCACTTCTTCCATTCTATCCTGTGCATAGATAAGATACTTCTCAAACTGATACACCAGACAGACAACTAGCTCCTCGTGTCAGGGGGTAGCCATATTAGTCTGTATCCACAAAAACAAGGAGTCCGGTGGCATCTTAAATACTAACATTTATTTGGGCATAAGCTTTTGTGGGTAAAAAATCCTCACTTCTTCAGATGCATGGAGTGAAAGTTACAGATGCAGACATTATATAACGACACATGAAGAGAAGGGAGTACTTTGCAAGTGGAGAACCAATGTCTGCAGGGCCAATTCAATCAAACAATTCAAACTAGCTTCTCGTTGTTCAAGTCCCTCCTCAATGCTAACTTTGGCTGTGATGCCTACAAAAGTTAGCCAGGTAGTAATTGTAGGTAAAAGGGCAACAGGGATAATTTCTGCATACACAAACTGCACACACACCTCACAATACAAATGTCATTTCACTCAACTTGTTAATTGCATCCCTTTCTCTCACCTTTTGCTAGGTTTTTGTCTTTCATGTTGTAAGATCGAGTAGTCATAATATGTCCACTAGAGGCTGGCTAAAATAAAGGATTAGAGTCCTACCAGTGCTATGAGCTACAAAAGACCTCCTCTAGTGCAAATGTTAGTAGCCTGTATTTTTTGAATGTGAAGTATCAGGTTCTAGGTCTTGGCTCCACAGGTCTGTCACACACACTGTATGTATATGATTTATATATTAATTCTGCCTGTTGGAAACAAAGAATTGTTATTTCAGTAGCACATATTTGCCAGAACCTCTAGCTAAGACCATTCATCTGTACCCGTATATGAGAAGCCCTTAATTATTCATTCAGTTATCCCTATACCTTCACAGTCTGATTGAGGATAACCCAGTAAGAGTTTTGAGGTTAACGTGACACAGTAGTAAAAGTGCCTGAGCTCAATCTACACAACAGTTAACATTCTTGTAACAGAGTGATACTCTTGTTGAAAAAAATGGATAAGAAATTTCCTATTGTACACAGTCCCTTTTGTGTTGTGTTATGTGACTAGTGATTCTGGATGCCTAGATTTCTGGGTGCCAAATTACAAACAGCTTAAAGGGATCTCAGAGGACAGTTACTCAGCACTTTCTGAAAGTCAGGTACATTTAGATTTTCTTAACTTGCATACCCCAAAATCTAAGCACCCAACATCTTTAGTCATCTTTGAAAAAGGTCAGTCTACTTTCCCATTATATATAAAAAATATCTAGGATGAGTATTTTCATTTCTTGAATATGAGTCAAATATTCTATGTAAGACACAAGAGTTAGTTGTTCCATTCTACTTTGTACTGGTGAGGCCTCAGCTAAAGTGTTGCATCCAATTTGGGGCACCACACTTTAAGAAACGTGAACAAAGTGGAGAGAGTTCAGAGGAGAGTGATCTCAATAATAAGAGGTTTAGAAAACCCAACCTATAAGCAGGGCCAGTGCTATCATTAAGGCCAACTAGGCGGTTGCCTAGGGCGCCAAGATTTTGGGGCGCCAAAAAGCAGTGCCCCCAATTTATTTATTGATTGATTTATTTTTTTTACAATGTTCTAGCGGCCGCTGCGCTGGGAGGGAGAGGGAGCCGGCAGCGCGTTGACATGGTGTGCGGCTCAGACTCCCTCTCCCTCCCAGTGCAGTGGCCGCTCCATCCCATGTGATTCCTGTCATTGCTGGCGGGGGCGCCGGTGGCTGGGCAGAGCTCCACAGCTCTGCTTAGCGCACATGGCACGAGCCCGGCAACGGGCGCGACAGCAGGGCTTGTGGAGGAAACAGGCGGCTGCCTCCTGGCTCAGCCTCCACGGTCAGCCCCAGCGGGGGGCACGGAGAAGAAAAGAGCCTCGGGCGGCGGTCTGGTGGAGCGGAGGAAGAAAGAGGACCCCGACGCCCATTCGTTGGGCAAGGTAAGCGCTTCCCCACAGCTCGGCCTCAGACGTCTGTGCTTCTGCCCCCTTGGTCCGTGGCTGGTCCCTGCTCCTGCTCCCCTTGTGTGTGGGCGGCTGGAGAGGATGGCAGCCTGCAGAGCTGAGCTGCCCCAGTGCCCCCCTCTCCCTGCCCCAGCCTCTGTCATGCCCGGTATCTGAGTTCGGGGCCGCCCGGGGGGGGGCAAGTGGGACAATTTGCCCCAGGCCCCGCAGGGGCCCCCCATGAGTATGTCTGAGGCTCCCCCTGCCCCACGAGTATGTCGGAGGCTCCTGGGAGAGGGGGTAAGCGGCATGGTGAGGGGACAGGGCCAGGCAACCCCCCGACCCCATCCCCCCACAGCCCTGACCCCCAGCTCCGAGCCCAGCCCCTCTGAGCTGGGCACCCCCTGACTCCATCCCCCCCCCAGCTCTGAGCCCAGCCCCTCTGAGCCGGACACCCCTGACCCCATCTCCCCACATCCCTGAGCCCAGCCCCTGTGAGCCAGGCACCCCCCAACCCAGAGCCCAGCTCCCCACCTAGCCCTGGGCAACAGCAGCACCACCCCCAGGCAGTGACAGCCCATTGGTACCAACCATCACCATCACCCAGCAACAGCCCATTATGTAATTGCAAATGTATACATACCATTACAGCTTTTAATGTTTTTAAATAATGTATTTAGTATATTTTCAAATTACTACAAATTAACTAGTGAAATACATTCAAAAATTAATTTTTACATTTCCAAATACATGTTACTGTAGTATTGCAACTTTTTTTTATGGAAGGGGCCCCCGAAATTGCTTTGCCCCAGGCCCCCTGAATCCTCTGGGTGGCTCTGTCTGAGTTTTAAGCCCCGCTGCTGTGTTATGCCTACAACAGGCAGGCCTAAGCCTGTGAGTGACCCCCATAGCAGCTGCCTGAAGAAGTGCTTGGGGGAATCACGCAGAAGGAGCGTGATATTTGTTTGAGTTCTCTCCTCATGGAGGCTGCGCTCCACTTGGCGCAGGACAGCAGTCTCAGCAGGACTCTAGGCCCAGCACCTTGCCTCGGTTTGTAGACTTGTAGTGCACCCCTGTCACCGGGCTCAGTCTGGCACCGCTACCCCTCACCAGTGCCCAAGAAGCAGTCAAAAAAGTTGGATGGACTGGTTAGGTTAGTTGTCATGCTGTTGCTTGACCAGTGTAGAGACCACTGAATGCATAATATTCCTCTATGATGTTCTGTCCTGAGCAAACGTGGCATGTTATGAGGTAGTGCCTGTGAGGGACAGGTGTCTGTTTATGTCATCCAGCCATCATGTCTTAGGTCTTTGGGGGAGGGGGAGCGGGCTTTTCCATCCTGCTTTCATTGGATCAAAGTCAAAGTTTATTCTCACAAGGAAGTTAGTAGGCATTTAGAGCAGATGAGCATACCACCACAGAGAGCACTTGGCAACCATTTGAGAGTGTGTAACCTATTTAGTTAGAAAATGGAACTTTTCATTCAAATTGAGTTTATACCATTTGATGTTTTTAATCATTTGGAGGTGCATGGCTGGTTGGACAGAATGGGTTCTGCAGCACTCCCAGTCAGATTTTGATATGAAGGAAGGAAGTATACATGACTAAAAAGGGTGTATTTCTGATTACAATCAACATTGCTTAATTTTAAGGGAAAGTCATCTTGATCTCTTAATCAATATTTACGTCAAACAGCTGATGAAATTCAAATAGTGAATTATAGTAAGTGACATGTATTCTCTATCCTTTACTTTTAATAGGGAACAAGAAAAAGAACTGATAGGAATAAAATTTCTTTTTTTTCCATTTTCAGTTGATGCAGCCTCATGGCAGATAAAAAAAAATAGTCTGGGGCACAATTTCGTAAGCGGAAGGCTGATAAGCAAAAAGAAGAAAGCAAGAAGGTTCGTTTCTGAAATATCTCCATCCACTGGCCAGAGATGAAGGTAGTTCAATGCCAAAGGATCAAGCAGAGATGGAGGTGGGGATGGGAGTTTCACAAGTTGAAGAAGAGTTTGAAGAACATAATCTGAATATTGAAGATGAATCAAACGAGACACGCGAGGATCAAAACTTGGAAGACCGTGAAAGCGAAAATGTCACTCGTTTGAATTTGAGCTTTAGTGATCCTGCTACTTGGGCCAAATGCGATGATCAAGTCAACAAATTCTGGTGGAACATGGGCCGGAACAAGTTCAGCAGTTCGATTTTCCCAAAGATAGTAAGCAAAGAAAATTTGACAATTCATTACAAACGTAGACTTGTTAATGGAGAAGAAATGCACCGTCAGTGGCTGCAGTATTCCACATCAAGTGATTCTGTCTTTTGCTTCTGCTGCAAGTTGTTTGGCAGTAGTACTATTGGCATATCATCTCTTTCTGAAAAAGGCTCAAGGGATTGGAAAAACATGTCTGCAATTCTTTCAGGGCACGAGAAAAGCAGTGAACATTTGACAAATGTTCAAACATGGAAGGAACTTGAACTGCGATTGAAATACAAGAGAACAATTGATGAAGAACATTTGCGCTTGATTAAGCAAGAAGAAAAGTATTGGCAGCAAATACTAAAACGTCTGATTGCTTTGGTCAGAGTTCTTGGTGTACAAAACCTGGCCTTTCGGGGAACACAAGAAAAACTGCACACTTCTGGTAATGGGAACTTCCTCTAATTTGTCGAATATCTAGCTTTGTTTGACCCGCTTATGGATGAGCATCTTTGCAGGATTAAGGACCAGGAGATGCATGTACATTACCTAGGGAAAGACATACAGAATGAGCTTATTCAGCTTCTATCCAATGCCATCAAACAAAAAAATCCTAGCATCTGCTCGTGCTGCAAAATACTTTTTGATCATTCTAGATTGTACACCAGATGCAGGCCATGTTGAACAAATGACCATGATCTTTTGGTTTGTGGATAGGCCTACTTCAGAGACTGAGAATGAGACTGAATCAGTATGCATAAGGGAACACTTCTTGGGATTTGTGTCGCTTACGGAGACAACTGGAGCTGGTATGACAGAAACTATTCTTCACCAGTTAGAAGAGATGTCACTGCCTATAGAAAACTTGCGTGGTCAAGGCTACGACAATGGGAGCAATATGAAAGGGAAAGAAAACTGTGCCCCGCGAAGAATTTTGGATATTAATCCACGAGCCTTTTTCATTCCTTGCAGTGCACATTCATTGAATTTGGTTGTTAATGATGCTGCAAAGTGTTGCTTGGAGGCAACCGCCTTCTTTGATTTAGTTCAACGTGTGTATGTGTATTTCTCAGCTTCTACACATCTCTGGGAAGTTCTAACATGCCATGTATCTAATCTCACAGTTAAACCATTGAGTGAAACAAGATGGGAAAGTCGAATCGATGCCTTGAAACCTCTTCGCTATCAGCTTGGTGACATCTATGATGCTCTGGTAGACATCTCTGAAGTCACTACTCTAACAAGATCTGGCAATACGTCACAAGCTGATGCAAAGGCTCTTACAAAAGCCATTTCTAGTTTCAAGTTTCTTGTTTCTCTTGTTTTGTGGTATGACATATTGTTTGAGATCAACATGACTAGCAAACAACTTCAGGCAAAAGAATTCGACATATGTGATGACATTAATCAACTTGGAGAAACCAAGAAGTTTCTTGTGGGCCGCAGAAGCAACGCAGCCTTTGAGAAAACATTGGTAGATGCAGGTGAACTTGTGGAGGAGTTGGATGTACCGGCACTTTTTGAACCAGATCCAATCCGTATTAGAAAGAAGAGGAAGCAGTTCACATATGAAGCAGATGACGAACCTATTTATAATCCAAAAGAAAAATTCAAAGTGAACTTTTACTTTGCAGTCATTGACAAAGCAATACATTTGGTTGAAGAAAGATTCACATTGATGCAGCAAATTAGTTCAGTATTTGGCTTCATATATGATGTTTACAGTTTGCAAAATAAAACACCATCGCAAATTATGGAACATTGCTTGAATCTGGAGCAAGCTTTGCAACATGGTGAATCCAAAGATATTGATGCCTTTGACTTGTGCAGTGAATTGCAAGCTATTGCAAGACGAGTCCAAAGGAGTTCATCACCGCAAGATGTATTGAACTTCATATGGGAAAATAAGCTGCCAGATAGTGTCCCTAACACAGTTATTGCTCTTCGCATCCTTTTGACACTCCCAGTTTCTGTGGCCAGTGGTGAGCGAAGCTTCTTGAAGCTCAAGTTGATAAAAACATACATGCGAACATCAATGTTGCAACAAAGACTTGTTGGGCTATCTATCTTGTCAATAGAAAATGACATTGCTCACAGCATTGACTTGGAGGAACTTGTTTCTAAATTTGCTAAACTTAAAGCGTGGAAACATAAATTCTGTTACTTTGTGACCATGTATTGTGTATAATGTATGTGATTTATTTGGGGGGGGCGGGTGTGCAAGGTGGAAGTTTCGCCTAGGGCGCAAAATATCCTTGCACCAGCCCTGCCTATAAGACAAGGCTGCAAGAACAGAAAAGACAACTACAGGGGACTTGATAACTCAATAATATTAAAGGGCTGTTATAAAGAGGATGGTGATCAATTGTTCTGCATGTCCACTGACAATAGGTCAAGTAGTAATGATCTTAGTTTGCAGCAAGGGAAATTTAAGTTAGATATTAGGAAAAAAAGCTTTTTAACTATAAGTAAGCACTGGAACAGGCTACCTAGGGAGGCTATGGGATCCCTATGATTAGCCTGTTCTTGAAAACCTGCAGATATACTCTAGTCAGGGATGGTCTAGGTATACTTAATCCTGCCTCAGTACAGGAGAACGCACCACATGACCTCCTGAGGTTCCTTTCAGCCTTACATTTCTATGATTAGTTAAATCAAGTACAAATAAAGTCTCCATGAAAGAGCACATTCACTCTAATGATCAGCACATGTGTACTGAAACACAAATTCGGAACTGCCTCCTTTTTGTTATTAAACAGTGTCTTAGAAGAAGTCCTAAAAACATTATTAGCCTAATGTACCTAAAATGAGCCTGGATGAAAAATATTAAATGTTCATCAAACTTCTGAGAAATTGAGCAAAGAGCAGATTTGAGTTTGGTTCAACTTTTGGGTGAAGGTTTGAGTTGTGTCTTATTTTATCTGAAGGGGTTTTATCTTTTCCAAGTCTAAGACATATTTTATTAGAGACAGTGTTAGATTTTAAGCAAATATCAGTAATAAAGTAATCCCAGAGCACTTCAGTAAGGGGAAAAATCTTCTGTTTTCCTAATGTACTGTAGCAGTAGCAACGGGCCACATCTATAGCTGTATGTGTCACGTGGGGGGGGGGAGGAGAGAGAATCACCACACACACACCCCCAAACCCAGGGCCGGCTCCAGGCACCAGCCCACCAAGCTTGTGCTTGGGGCGGCACCTGGAGGGGGGCGGCGCGGCGCTCCGGCCGCCGGGGAGAGCGGGGCCACGGCCGGGCTCGCTGCCCTCCCCCCAGCCGGGGCTTGCCACCCTCTCGCCGCCCTGCCCCCTGCGCTCTAGCTGCCGGGGGGAGAGCGGAGCCCCCACTGGGGCTCGCCGCCCTCCCCCCTGGCACTCTGGCCCCTGCGCTCTGGCCACCGGGGGGAGAACGGAGCCCCCGCCGGGGCTCGCCGCCCTCCTCCCAGGGCTCCGGCCGCCCCCCCCCCCGCCGCGGGGGGGAGGGCGGCGGCCCCGCCGGGGCCCGCCCCCCCCCCCCCGGGGCTCCAGCCAGCCGCCCTCCCCCCCCCTATGGGGGGGGAGGGCGGCCGGAGGCTTTTTTGCCTGGGGCGGCAAAAAAGCCAGAGCCGGCCCTGCCCAAACCTGTGTCTTTCATGATTGTAAGGCCTCAATCAAGGATTACTATAATAAAATAAGATCAAGTAGATGGGTCCATAGAGTATTTAAGATTGTCTACCTTAACACAGATGAGAGTTAGGCATAAGCACAAGAAGAAAACCTTTCGAGTAGTTTAAGACAAACAACAAGTAGAGCCTTGAATCTCTCAGGCTGGTTTCTTTTCTTAAGGGGTCTTATTGTGTGTGGGAACTCTCAGGACCTAATTGCTTGAAATGTTTTTTTTCCTGTAAATGGTGCATGTAAGTTCTCCTGCTCTTATTGCATGAAGAGAAGAATTCAGAGGATAGCTGGATAAAAATGCAGGGGATAATCACAACCACACTAACAGAAAAAGAGAGCACAGTGCTTTTTGCAAAAGTGCAAAAATACATTAAAATATAGGGGGAAATGATACTGCCACAATTTCCAAATGATACCAGGTGTGGTAATTACTTCATCGGGAAAGAAATAAGTGGATGTGTGAAGTTATGAGTGTAATATAATCTCATTGAAAGGTGACAGGGCCAGAAAGAGTTAATTAACTCACAGACTGACCTGACCCATGGTTGAACTTTAGAGACTGGTTAGGAAGATATGTAAATGAATAGAACTTTGAAATGCAAGTCTGGATTGTTAGAGGTAGAAGAGTAGGTGTTTGCTCAGGTCTTGTGATGTAAGCAAACAAGTCTTGTCTATTGCTATAGCTTTGATTCAAAGATCAAAAAAGGAGTATTAACATTTAGGAAGACACTTGAGTGAAATAGTATTATTGTCTATATGTCTCTTTGAAGGTTGTGGTAACCTGTATCTGAACTGTTTAATGGATAAATTACCCTGTGCTAATTTCCAGGATGTTTGGGAGAAGGAGAGTTAAGCCTATTGTTTTCCCAGGCCAAAAGGCTGCTGGAAATGTATAAGAAACCTGGGACACGATCCTTCTTCATCTCAGATCTGCTTTGGGTTTCAAGAGGGGGAAACCTTAAGCCATAAGGATTGAGATCCCCAGTCACTGAGTGGAGTCACCCTGAATATGGACATTGGACTATAACCTCTGGACTATATCTAAAAGGACTTTTGGCAACTACAAGCTCATCTCTGCTATGTATCTGAACCTCAAGAATTGAATTCAAGTCTGTATGTATATTGATCTTTTAACCAACACTCTCTTTCCTTTTAATAAATTTTAGCTTATTTAATAAGAATTGGCTATAAGCGTGTATTTTGGGTAAGATCTAAGTTCTAATTGAAGCTGGGCGTGTGACTAATCCTTTGGGATTGGAAGAACCTCTCTTAGAATTTCAGTAATCATCATCATCATCATATCTGACATGTGTGTCTGGATGGAGGCCTGAGGCTGGGTACTTTAAGGAAAGTGTGTGGTTTGGACTTCTGAGTAACCAGTAAGGTACTATAGAAGCTGTTTTGTGCTGTCTTGGTAAATCTAAGTATTGGAATATCCACCAGCGTTTGGGGTTTGTTTGCCCCATTCTGTTTGGGGTTCACCCTGATTGAGTGACCTCAGCTGGCTCCCACGGGCAGCATTGTCACAGGATGCCAAGAGAGTATAGTGAATTCCCAGGTTTCCCCCTCCCCCCACCCCACAATTTATACACCTGAGCAGGTGTTTTTGATGGTAATATCATCAGCAAATCTTGCAGTTCACAGGTGTAGCTCCATTTTCAAAATGCCAACAAAGGCAGCTATGTTTGAACAACTTCAGCTAGCCAACAACAGTTTCTCTTCCTCCTGCTTCTCTCAAGACACTATTCCCATAGTATATACAGTAAAGAACTTTTTTGCTAAGGCACACTCACAACCTTGTCTAGAATGGATTGCAGCCGTTGGTATAGATAGCTGCATCAGTGCAACTCCTGGTCTGCACAGGCCAGGGCCCAATGTCTAGCGGAGTAAGCTCACCTATCCACACCATCTGTCTGATTTGGTCCAACTACTAAATCATCTGAGCACCTCACCTTCTTTAATATACTTGGCTTCATATCAGTGCTACCAAGTGATTTGCTTAAGGTTACATATTGACCCTGTCGGTAATGAAGTCTTACAGTGACATGTGATCATGTCACCTGAACTGGAATCCATCTTTAACCTGGTGTTTTTCCATTTGCGGGGGGGAGGTGGTGGGAAACCAGAGGGACAAAGGATTCCCACCTTATGCAAAAGATATACAAGTGAGTGGAACAGAACAAAGAGCAGCCATCATGAGGAATTCCCTAGCTACCACCTGAGCTGGAAGGGGCTGTACCAGGGGAAAGGATTGTGCCCAGACTAGGAAGGTATCCAGTCTGTGAAAGAAACATCTCTGAGGGAGAGATCTTATCTGTATTCAGTTTCTTACTGTATTAGACATAGACTTGCGTGTTTTATTTTATTTTGCTTGGTAATTCACTTTGTTCTGTCTGTTACTACTTGGAACCACTTAAATCCTACTTTCTATATTTAAGAAAATCACTTTTTACTTATTAACCCAGAATATGTATTAATACCTGGGAGGGCACGCAAACAGCTGTGCATATCTCTCTATCAGTGTCATAGAGGGCAAACAATTTAGGAGTTTATCATGTATAAGCTTTATTCAAGGTAACAGATTTATTTGGGTTTCAACCCCAGTGGGAGTTGGGCATCTGAGTGTTAAAGACAAGAACACTTCTGTAAGTTCCACGTCCCTTAACAGCTGTAGGCTTGACTGATTCAGACCCTGGGTCTGGGTTTGCAGCAGGCTAGCGAGTCTGGCTCAAACCAGCCAGGGCACTGAAGTCCTAAGCTGCCAGGGAAGGAGAGCAGGGGCAGAAGTAGTCTTGGAACATCAGTTGGCAGCCCCAAGGGGGTTTCTGTGATCCAACCTGTCACAGTGGAATCCTTTGTCCCTCTGGGTTCCCCCGCCCCCGCACTTCTCAATGCCACTCTAATTAAAAGTATTCCAATGTTGTGGTTAAATTGGGCTGTGTAGTAACTCCATTTAAAGTAATCAACTGTTAAATATTGTTCCCTTACAGGGGCAACAGACCTCCAATATCTGGACTATACAGGAGAAGGCAGGACAGTGCAGAATACATGGTTGGGGGAAATTTGGGACAGAGTTTTGGGGGTCATCCTGCAGGTAGAAACTAAGGCTGCTGGGCTCAGTGTTGTTAGCAGGCTGCAGCTATACTCAGACACTCAGGTTGTGACATACATGCTGTTTGTGAGGAGCCCAGGTTGGGAGCTACAGCAGAAAAGTTTTGAGAGACACCGCACATTTCAGGGGAGGTGGTGACAACCCCTCACTGATCTGGATTGCACCACAGAATGTCATACACCTAAAAATCAGCTAGACCAAAAAAGTCTTGTCTGTTGTAAGTGGGGGTAGAATTGTCCCCGCCAGCGACTCTTGCCAGCTTCAGATCACTTGTTAATGATATACTGGCACAGATGTAGTTGCAGAAGTGCTCCCCTGCTCCTGGTGCCCCCAAGCATCGGTCCACATAATGGGCTGTTTTGGGACCAGAGAATACCAGCGTCTAAGGGGAATCCAGCCATGCCATTGGCACTGGTGGATATGCA